CGGTCATGCTCGACCGGACTCACCCAGCGTCTAGTCACACAACGTCTCCCCTGTGCATCGCATATGTCATCATACGTCATACTGACTAGACTCGGGCCCTGAGCGTCCGGTCATTTCTTGCGCCAGCGTCCGGTCATGGACCGAAACCGCGCGCTCACTTCTGCCACCGACCGGACGCGCCGGTCCTACAGAGACCAGCGTCTGGTCACTTACAGTGACCTCCGTTCACCTGGGTTTAGCCACCGGACACGTCCATTACGCTCTATAAAACCCTATCTTTTCTATACAGTGCGCCGGTGGCACCGTCGGATTGTCCGTACTCTACGGGCGGACACTTCGTCGGTGAAGTTTCTAACCCTTGCTCAAATGTGCCAACCACTAAGTGTATCACCTTGTGCACATGTGTGTTAGCATATTTTCACAAACATTTTTAGGGGTGTTAGCACTCCACTAGATCATAAATGTATATGCAATGAGTTAGAGCATCTAGTGATATTTTGATAACCGCATTTCGATACGAGTTTTACTCCTCTTAATAGTACGACTATCAATCCTAAATATGATCACACTCGCTAAGTGTCTTGATCATCAAAACAAAATGGCTCCTACCACTTATACCTTTACCTTGAGTCTTTTGTTTTTCTCTTTCTTCTTTTCAAGTCCAAGCGCTTGATCATCACCATGGCATCACCATTATCATGTCATGATCTTCATTTGCTTCATTACTTGGAGTAGTGCTACATATCTCATAATCACTTTGATAAACTAGGTTAGCACTTATGGTTTCATCAATTCACCAAAATCAAACTAGAGCTTTCACCTGACGCATGAGCTAGCCAGCAACCATAGCTCGGTCATGCCGTGAGCCCGACGCCAACAGCGTTGTGCCCGCGGTGACCGTGAACTCAGACCGAGCGACTGCTATTGGTGACGTGCACGCATTTGAAAGCGAAGCGAAAGCTACTAACGATCACAATTGAGGCCCAACTAATTCCCCTATCCTAAAGTCAACATTACCAGCGACCTAGCAAAGACATCGCCATGGCCAGAGAGAAACTAGAGAGGGGGGTAGAAGGATGCCAACATGAGCTCGTCGCGCTGAACGCCAGTTTACGAACAGAGCGTCAACAACATGGTTACAGCACGTTCCAACGAAGTTTGGAGAATTTTCAAGGGAGCAACACGACACCCAACGCAACTACGAGCTACCCCATGCCCAAGAGCTTACTTAGATGCAACCAACAATACAAGAATATGAAACTAGTGTTTAAACATTTTAGTTAGAATTTAAACGCCAAAATGGTATTGTCTACTACTCTTTCAAACTTAGAAAAGACAAGAGTTCAGTTTGAACTTAACAACCATCACTTTTGCCACAATTTTTAAAAGGCCTAGTCTTGATTAACTTCAACCAACAAGTACTCTATGCAATAGTCCATACTTTATATTAAACAATAGGAACAAAATATTTAAGCACTATTTAATTACTTTGCTCAATATAACTCGTCAAAAATAGTACTTTAACATAAGTTCAGATCTTTGCCGACTTAACGAAAAGGTTGATTTTAATTCCCAATTTGATTTTTGGAGCTCCCAAGAACATTAGTTAACACGTTTATTTTCCAAAAATTAAAGTTGCATTTTCACCTACACCACTTGCTCATATCTTTACATAAGCACTATACACAAGTTACATTTTATTTTTGTTTGTAGAAATTGTTTTTCGTACCAAACAATTAAAACTACTTATTTTATTATTCTTGTTAGTATTTTCATTAGCACATTTACGCACTGAGTAAATTAACTTAGATATTTATTTGATTTCTCTCAACCATAAAAGTGAGTCGCACAGGGTTTATTTATCATTTCATGTGTGTTTTAAATTTTTTAAACTCAAGAATTTGCTTTGCTAATTTCTCTTAAGCCTTAACCTAGGTGCTAAGCAAGCTCGTAACACCAGAGGTGTTACACTTTCCGCCTCACAATTCTATATAAATTAGGATAAACCTCTCTAAAATTTGTATCATAACCACATATCCTCCCAAAACCTCACCTGCTCCCCACACTACACCTTAAAAGTGCCACAAGCTAGAAAATCCTCCTTAGCCTTCATAAGACCAGCCCAAAAATAAGAATTCCTAGGCCTATGTTGCACTTGAGTAAGTGATTTATTAGACAAGTATTTTCTTCTTAGAAGGTTCCGCCAAACCCCATCCTCATTGACCAACCTAAACAACCACTTACTCAAAAGGCATATATTTTGTTGTTCCAGATTAACTATTCCGAGCCCACCAAAATCTTTTGGTGCACAGAAAACACTCCACTTAGACAGATGATATTTGTTCTTGTGTTCATCACATTGCCGGGAAAAGCGGGAGCGATAATAATCTAATTTTTGAAGGACTCCTCTAGGAATTTCAAAAAAAGATAACATAAACATAGCTAGGCTAGTTAGCACCGAATTAATAAGAACAAGTCATCCACTAGCTGAAGTAATTTACCTTTCCAGCTACTGAGTTTTTCCAAGAACCTCTCCTCAATACATGCCCGGTCCTCATTGGATAGTTTAACATGATTCATAGGAATACCTGGATACCCGAAAGGAAAATCACGTGACCGGCACCCAAACAAACGTGCATATTCCGGTTCACGGTCCTTGGCTCCACCATAGCAAAAAAAAAAGCTCACTTTTTGTGAAAAATAATTTTTAATTCTAATAATTGCTCAAAGGTACTAAGCACTAGCTTGATTCTTTGGCTTTTAGCATATCATGATCAAAAAAAAATGGTGTCATCCGCATATTGCAAGATTGAAAGGCCATCATCAACCAAATGTGGGACAACTCCCTTCATTAATTTGTCCATTAGTCTTAGCCTGAAAAATCAAAGTTGCTATCATATCTGCCACCAAATTAAATAGAATAGAGAGACAAGGGATCTCCCTGTCTTGCTCCATTCTTGGTTAGGAGAAGAAAAAAAAAAAGACCCACCTCGTCATTTACTCTGATGTTGACACTACCTCCCCTCATAGTTTGATCAATCCAATGACACCAAACAGGCGAAAAGTCTTTCATTTTTAAAGTTTGTTGCAGAAAGACCATTTAATTTTGTTATAGGCTTTCTCAAAGCCTAACTTTAAGATTACCCCATGTAACTTTTTTTCTATACGACTCCACCTCATATATAGGAGGAATAATCAGTCCAGACGATCCGTATTACCAAAGATGGACATAAAGCTATAGCTTGCGATCCTAGTCAGCAAATTAATGCATGGATGCTGCTTGCATGCAGTGGGATCATAAGTCGATCGTGTAGGAGTAATAATCATATCATGCAATTAATAAAGGGCCGGGGTGGTGTCACGGTGTGGTGCAGTGCAGGGCACGCAGGGGCTGTGAATGCCCGCTGCAGAATATCACTGCCAACCTTGCTCTGTCATCACAAGAACAAGATTGCCTGCCTGCGCACTGCAACCGTACTGTACTGTATTAGTTAACATCTACAGAGAGCTACGTACGTAACGTAGTATATCCTGCTGTCCTGCCAAAATACTCCGTATGTGATCATCATAGAGCTGTGTACGGGCGGGCATGCTTCACACAGACGCATGCAGTGATGGGTCGCGCTCGCGGCCTCGCGCCCGAGCCGGAGTCGGTGCCGGTCCATATGCATGCATGCTGATGGCTGATGCTGCTGACGATTCATTGCCATTATATTATATTGCTGATCATGGCATTCTTGCAATGGTGATCCAAATAGTAACAATATTATGGACCTGTTTGGCAGGACTCCTCACCGGCTCCAGCTCTTGCTGTGGATGCCTTCCCTTGTTTCTGACTCCCAACCCATAATGTACTGCTCTGCTCCTACTAGGTACTTAATTGGAACAGCAGGCGGATTAAACCATGCATGTCTGCAGGTCGATCGGTCTGGGCTTGGGTCCATCATCAGCTTTGCATTGAGGTCGTCGTCCCAACAATTTCGGCCCGGCCGCCGGCGTTGCGGAGCAAACAAGCAAATGCAGTTTGTAAATGAGTGGGCTACGTATGTCTCATATATATGTACAGTAGCGACAGCACTTGTACTGCTACTTTCATCAATCTACAGAAATACACCAATAATTTGGTTGATGGATCACATGAATGATGAAGATGCAACTGCAGCTATGTTTTTTCTCTCTCGAATACGCAAAAGATTTGTGTATCATTGTAATTAAGAAGAAGAAGAGTTTAACCATACACACGACACACTTCTAATGAGCGTCCTAGGAGGTCTTAAAGTTTGACTGGACCCATGAATGATGAAGATGCAACTGCAGCTATGTGTTCTGAAAAACACCAACAAACATTACTGTGATGTCCTGCTCGGCTAGCTGCGCCACATATATAATCCTCCTATATGTAGATGATGAAGGGGACAATTCAAGGACCCATGGCTTTATTATAGCAAATGGGGTCCAGGATTGCAAGTACTGGAGTACATCTAGATGAAGAAGGGCTGTGTCTGTCTAGGAAAGAAAATGGTCCCTAAATCCAACATGCAGGCAGCAGTAGGCTACTGTAAGTTGGATCGATGCATGCAAGTGATGGAACTGCAGGGACCTCACGGCATGCCATGATGCCATGACAATGGCAAAGCCAATAGGCACAAGTAAAAAACCAGAAAACCACTTGTGAGCCAAAAAAAAAATCAAAAACTACAGCTCAAGCAAACCGGCCCTGTTCTTGGAAAGCTAGAATGCCGTATGCATGCAGCAGGAGCACCAGAAATGCCTATATGTTGAACAGTACTTGCCAGTAGTAGCTTACAACAAAGAGCAAATATTCCATGCGCCAAAGGATTATGGCCACACCCAAATACAATGGAAAATCATCATTAAGTGTCAAGCTTGGTCAGGCTACTGAACATTACACAGTACAATAACAAACAAGATGTTTCTGTGAAGTTGACCAGAAGACGAGAGAGTTATCAACAAACCAAAGACGAGCAAGCAAAAGAATATTAAACAGGCCAGAATCGAGCACGGAGGCGGACGGCCCGGGAGGCGATTTCTCTCAGAGTGTCTCTTGCTGTGGACACGTCGTTCCGTGGCTGCCTCTCCTGCTCAGGCTCCTCAAAGGCATTCATGAACTCCTCCTGTTGCAACCTGTAAGCCAACGCAGCATCTTCAGATTGGTCTAATCTTACTGCGCTCCTTCTGTTACTGCTTCTTGTGCTGCCATGTGTCCTGATGAAGTTCGCACTAGTGTTGGTGCCTGTTGTGCTGCCGGGTTCGATGAACGTCCTGTAGCTGCTTCTTGTTCTACCTTCGGTGATGAAGCTGCTGCTGCTGCTCCTAGTTCTAGTTCTCATACCGGTGCCACCTTGTGATAACCTATTAGCTCTCAGTGGGCTACGGTTCACACCCTTGTTGCATTGTGAAGGTGATGAGGTTGAACTCTTTCTTGCCTCAACTTCACTGGGAAATAAGAGCTGAATGGTGTTCCAGAGTACAGTGTTGATGGTGCACGATCTTGAGTTGCTGCAGAGTTACAATCATTTAGTCAAAGCCTTTACAGTTTATTGACCAAACACATCTTTTTTCGAGATTGCACAGCTTTGAGGAAAGACTTACCTGATTAATTGCCTGCATTTTGGACACCGTTTTCCGCACTTGGCTGCAGCATGTCTTAAGCATTTCATGCAGAAGCTGTTAAATAGAATAGCAGTAATATGAGTTTCAGAACAGTTTACAGAGTAATGAAGAAACTGACTTAAAATATTCAACAACATAATTGCATCAAAGAATGTTCAATTCAAAAAAGTTTCAGGTAACACCGGTATAATGAGCAAAATTTTAGATTGGTGGACAATGTACAGATAACCACCACTCAGTTGAGATATTTGAAATGATAAACCTCAGGATTAAAAAAAGACCTCTTAGTACAATACTAATTTATTTCCACTCCAGCCTA